GGCTGATCCAGGGGATCAAAGCACCAGGGACGTCACCCTTGGCGCGCAAGGGGAAGACCGTGGTGTAGCGCGAGTAGTCGTCAACAACTATCAGGAAGTACCTCTCCTGACCCTGACCACGGACGCGGGCTGGGCCCCACACGTCCATGTGGAGCGTCTGCAGGGGAGCGGTCGTCGGGGGAAAGGAGGAGGAGTGAGGAGCGGCGCGCTGCCGCCCCTCGACACAGGGAATGCAGTCAGGAGCAGGGGAGTCAGGAAGGGGAGGGAGCACCCTGGGAAGACCAGCAACAAGGTCCCGTTTGTGCATGGCCCGCAGGCGCTGCACAGACGGGTGACCAAGGCGGTGGTGCCAGAGGACGGTGTCGTTCGCCAGAGAGCGACACGAGCAGGGGGCGGACAGCTGACCTGACGCTGATGCAGACGCAGCTACCTGAGGGGACTCAGTGGTCAGTGTGTACAGGTCAGACCCCGGCTCTCGAGTGAAAGTAGCCAGGTGGCGGCCCGTCCGAGCACACGTGCAGTGAGTCACACGCTCGTAGGCAGGGGTGAACTGGTGAACACCCGAGTCCTGGAGCGCACTACCTGCCACCAAGTTCGTGGAGAACGAGGGGAGGTAGAGACCTGAGAGCTTGCCGGACGGAACCGCTGGACACGGAAGGGTGGTGGAGGAGGTCGCAAGGACCGGACCCCCAGAGGGGTCAGCAAGAGAGACAGCAACCGGCCGAGCTAGAGGCTCAAGGACAGTGCGGTCACGAAAGAAAGAGCGAGAAGCACCTGAGTCAAGTGTGAAGGTGTGCAGTGCTGCAGTCGACTCAGTACCAGGGGGCACAGACGCAGAAGCACCTAGAGCAGCAGCTGCAGTAGTACCTGTGGAAGCAGACACACTAGCACCTAGTGCAGCAGCAGGGCTGGCCTGAATGCCCGGGTCGGGCGGAACACGCAAGTACTGAGCACCCTCTCCACTAATAGACATCGCATACATGGCAGTGAGAATAGCATCAAAGTCAAGTGCCCAAATATCAACACCCTTCCTGAGCAGATCAGCCCAGCGCGGCAGCTCACCCCCACCAGGAAACTGAGTGCGCCACGCATCGTTGAGGCGGGCGAAGCAGCGCTCCGTCTGGTGCGGCCCCCCACACGTCTGGCCAGTGCGGTCACCTGTACGAATAACGTACTGGCAGGTGACGCTGCGCCGCGCATACCACTCACGGGCGGCCTGAAGGGTCGGGGCAGGCTGCTGACTCTGACCGCCCGCCGGGCCTCCACGACCACCACCCCCTCCGCCTCCGCCCCGGCCACCTCCACCCCTGCCGCTGCCACGACCACCTCCGCCTCCGCTGCCACCTCCGCCCCTGTCACCACTCCCAACACCGCTGTCACCTCCACCACCGCCGCCACTAGCCTCTCCAGTCGCACCTCCACCGCCACCACCTCCACCCCCGCCTCCTCCGCCACCACCCCCACTCCTGCCACTCCTGCCCCTGCGTCGTCCGCCTGAAGCAGACGCAGCCCCGACCTTCTCAGCACCAAGGAGGTCGACAGCAGCAGCAGAGGCGACAGAGGGGAGGAGGGGGGAAGGGGAGCACCCCTCGAAGAAGGGGCCGCGGGGGTCGCCACGAGAGGTGCCTACAGCGACGATACTAGCCTCGGCTGCAAGCAGTTCCTTCTCGAGGAGGGCTATGGTGAGTTCAGTGGGGGAGCGAGAGAGGAACTGGTCCCTGACAGGGCGCAGAGAGTCAGGGAGGCGGGTGACAACGTGGTAGAGAGTGATCCAGAGCGGGGGGGGGTTGCTAGCGAGGAACTCATCAGGCATGGCAGCGCGAAAGCGAGCCTCACTAGTCTTAAGGTGGGTGATGAGGTCTGCGACAGTGTGAAAAGAGGCTAGGTCGGGGAACAGGTAGGGGAGAGTGAGGCGGCCTAGTGTGGCAGAAGCGGGTGAGGAGTAGCGGGCCACTACAGCTGTGTAGAGGTCCTTAGCAGTCTTGCACTGGCCGAAGTGCTCGCGCTCATCTAGCGGCAGGGAGTTGCGAATAGCAAAGCGAGCGTGCGCGTCACGGGTCTGCCACTGTGAGCGCTCAGTTGGGGGGGCAGTAGCGAGTGGGGCGGTCGCATGGCCGAGAGCGTGGTCGTACAGTGTAATATCTTCCTTGGCAGTGAGCTGTAGGAAAAGGTGCAGATCATCTAGCCAGGTTTCGAATTTGACCGGACGGCCCTCGGCGTCGAAAGCTAGAACAGGAGGACTAGCCATAGCGACAGCGGCAGTAGTAGAAGCAGTAAAGTCACTGAACAGGCGTGCGCAGGGTCAGCAGGGCCGGTGGGGCCTACAGACTGTAGTGGCGCACAAGCAGCAGTAGCAGGAAGTGTAGTAGTAGGATCTGCAGTGGTGCACAGGCGCAGCAGGCGGCAGCGAGAGCCGGCGCAGCAGGGGCGGGCTCAGCAGCGGTGATACGCGGGCGGCAGCGGGCGCAGCAGCGGCGGTGCGCGGGCGGCGGCGAGCTCAGCAGCGGCGGTGCGCGGGCGGCGGCGGGCTCAGCAGCGGCGGTGCGCGGGCGGCTGCGGGCTCAGCAGCGGCGGGCCGGGAGCAGTGCGGGCAGCGTGCGGGCCGGCGGCGGTCAGCGCACGAGCCGCGCAGGCTCAGCGCGGGCTGCGCGGGCTGCTCGCGGGCTGCGTAAGCGGGTCGCGGGCGGCTCGCGGGGGTTCGCGGGCAGGTCGCGGGCTGCTCGCGGGCAGTTCGCGGGCTGTGCGCGGGCTGGTCGCGGGCTGCGCAGGCGGGTCGCGGGCTGTGCGCGGGCGGTTCGCGGGCTGTGAGCGCGGCGCGCTGTGCGGTTCGCGGGCGGCGTGACGGGGCCGATCGGGGCGCTAAGGGGCGACGCGACGGGGGCCGTGAGAGGCCGCTAAAAAAAAATTTCGACGGGGCCGCAGGGCCGCTAGATCTTGCTAGATCGACGGGGCCAGCGGGGCCGGAAACAAGCGAAGGTAAGCAGGTAGGTAAGTCGGTGGGCCCTAAGAACAGTCCTAGCGAAGGACCTGCTCTGAAACCATGTCAGAAATAACTGAGCAGGAATGGATGAACTAGAACAGAGTTTGGTACAAGTAGGAAACCCTAACTTTGTGTACCCCCTAAGGTGTAACCCACTACAGCCTAGACAATATAAACATGCAATGTTTGACATTTGCACCCAACCGAACCTCAATCAACGATAGATATGGTGGTTGGACTATTTGGAGTCCAATCTGCGGAGAGTCACTCTACAACGGTAGTGAGCTAGACTATGAGGGTTGGCACGAACTACTAGGAGTGATCATAGCTCTGCAGCTAGCCTGGTCGACCGCCAGCACTACATGGTCGACCACCTGCCAACGTTGCGTAGGGGAGCCGTGCTAGCACTGTAGAAAGGCGACCTGCCAACAGAGCAGGTCGACGGCGTGCCAACGCTGCAGTAAAATGGCTGTCCAGCGTTGCCCCATAGAAGACAGAAGTGTGTACGTAGGCCCGTACACGCAGACGATTGGCCCGACTTGCATCGTTGTGCATCCGTCGGCTGTTGTCTGCGCCTGACGCGCCACATCGACTTCGGGAAACCAGCCCGAAGTCTCCTTCGCCATTGCGACCTCAATGACGTTCGCGTGCCTCCGCAGAACTCGTCGAGCAGGTTACCTGGTCGACCTGGACACCACCGGGTGCTCTGGTCGACCACCAAGTGCTCTGGTCGACCACCAGGTGCCTCTGGTCGACCACCAGGTGCTCCTAGTCGACCACTAAGAGCTCTGGTCGACCACCGAGTGCCTCTGGTCGACCACAGCTCCGTCGAGCAACACCTTGGTCGACGGACCCCTCCGACGACTAGCATTGTCACCTGCTAGAACAAATAGCAAGGAATGGTTTGACTGTCGAGAGAGTTGAGTACAAATGTGAAAACCCTACAGGGGTTGTACCCCACATTGGCTACCCCACTACAGCCTACACATAGTTATAAAACATATGTAGTTTGACACACCCCCATAGGCAAAGCGGGGGAGAACAAGGGGTCACAAGACCAGTCAAGAAAAGCAAAGCAAGCTCAGGGTGGATCGCAAAGTCACCACACACTCCGAGCACAAGCAAAGGGCCACAAGGCTAGTTCACATGCAGAGGTATATATGCAACAACAACAGTACAGTGATCACTACCTAGCAAGAGCAAGCATGCAGGTATATATATAGATCACAGTACAAGCAAAGTCACGAAGTGAGCAAGTGAGACGAAACAGGCACAAGGCCTAACATAGTACAGAAGCGCTGATGATCACCAGATGGAAGTGCCTTGGTGAATATATCAGCAGTTTTGGCCCGAGTGGCCACGTGAGCAAGACGAAGCTGACCACGCTACTGCAACTCTCGAGCCAGGAAGTAACGCAGAGCGATGTGCTTCGTTCTGTGCTCCAATCTGTGCTCCTGACACAAGGCAATGGCGGCCTTGTTGTCGACGTACAGAAATGGAGGAGAACGAGGCCGCTCTCCCAGGTCGGTCAGCAGGTACGTGAGCCAGCGTAACTCCTGTGCAGCCATGGCTGTGGCAGAGATCTCAGCCTCACAACGAGAGCTGAGAACAAGCAGGTAGACCGCCAAGAGACAGAGCCGCAACCAAGGCTGAAAGTGTAACCCTGTGACGACCGCTGCGTAGCCAGGTCGTCAACCCAAGACGCATTTGAGTGTCCAGTGAGGACAACCTCACCCCGTCCTCCAAGCACGAGCCCCATGCCCGATGTACTGCACAAGTAGCGCAACACCCTCTTAGCAGCCTCCCAGCGCCGGTGTCTCCCAGGTGCAACGTAGCGAGCCAGGATGCTAAGAGGGTACGCAAGGTCAGGTCGAGTGCAGGTCATCAGGTACATGAGGCAGCCCACAAGCTCTGGATACGGGCCACTCGGCTCTACGGACTCGTCCGAAGGTGGAGCTGAGAGCGAGTGACCGGTAGCCATAGGAGTGGACTGTGGCGAGGACCAAGTGAAGCCGAAGCGCTAAAGGACCTGCTGCACCATGTGTGACTGAGTCAGGGTGATGGTGCGCCGTGCTCTGTCCCGGGTGATATGCAAGCCAAGGTAGCTGCGCAGCTCACCCAGGTCTGTGCATGTGTGTATCTTCTGCAGCTTCGTCTTCACAAGGGCGAGTGCCTCAGTGTCAGTAGTAGCAAAGACCAAGTCGTCAACGTACACGAGGATGTAGAACGGCGGCAGCGAAGTGTCGATGCGCAGAAACAGCGACGGGTCAGCTGTCGAAGGAGCAAACCCAAGAGCCGCAAGTGTCGTCCTCAGTGTGTCGTGCCACTCACGAGGCGCCTGGCGGAGACCGTAGACTGGCCGCCGGAGGCTCCACTGGGAGCCACGAAGAAACGGCCCAGTGAAGCCAGGTGGGCGGCGCAGCCAGATCTCCTCGTGCAGGCTGCCATGCAAGAAAGCTGTACTGAAGTCAAGAGAGTGAAGCTCGTAGTCACGCTGAGCGGCAACGTGCAGCAGCACCCAAAGAGTGGTCATCTTCGAGGTAGGGGAGAAGGTCTGGAAGAAGTCAACTCCCTCACGCTGACTAAAGCCTTGTGCAACGTAACGAGCCTTGAAGACGGGCGGAGAACCCGGCGGCCGCTTCACCCTGAAAATCCACATGCCATCGACGATGTTCGCCCCAGGAGGGGGAACCTCATCGACGTAAGTGCCTGTGGACTTCCAGGATGCCATCTCTGCGTCCATGGCTATCTGCCACTGAGAGGAGTAGGGACCCGCAATCGCCTCAGCGTAAGAGCGCGGGGTCGGGATGTCTGGTGCATCCGGGTCTCCCTCAGGGGCAAGCAGCATGGCCACGAGATGAGGCGTAGCGGCTGCAAGACACTCAAAGTCCTCCTGCCTGTCCTCGAGGACGTCCGTGCCAAGAGCACACTCACCCCCGAAGGACGGAGGACAGACAGACTCAGACTCAGCAACAAGACTGGCAGCGTAGTCTAGACGACAGGCAGCAGCAAAGTCAACAAGCTCAGACACAGCAGCAGACTCAAACGAAGGGTCAGTGACAACAGTGGCTAGCAGACGTGTGACAGTAGGGTGAGCAGCACGAAACAGGTCAGACTCAGGGTCCGGAACGTCAGGCAAAGAAGACGCAGGAGGAAACGGCAAGGAAGGATGAAGTGCCATAGCGTACGTGCCGGGGACAGGAGGCGGACGCTCACGAGGAACACGACGACCAGTGCGACTAGCGCGAACAGGCGAGGTAGGACGAGACGCAGGCTCACGACGCTCTGTAAGCGAGTCTGTCTGCTCAGGGTAAGGAGAAGGAGCAGGCAGTGGTGAGCCTGGCTGTAACGGGAGGTCAGTAGAATACAGGAGGGTAAGAACCTGGCGAAGCACGGAGTCAGACGGCTGTGCAGTGCCACCAGTGCCAGTAGCTCCAGCGCCTCCAGCAGCCCCTGAGCCTCCAGCTCCAGCGCCTCCAGCGCCAGCACCTCCAGCTCCAGGGCCTCCAGCTCCAGTGCCTCCAGCAGCAGCAGAACCTCCAGTGCCAGCAGCTCCAGCGCCAGTGGCAGCAGCAGCAGCAACCCCAGAACCGGCACCTTCAGCCCCAGGGTCTCCAACTCCAGGGTCGATAGCACCAGCTCCAGGAACTCCAGCTCCAGTGCCTCCAGCAGCAGCACCCCCAGAGTCGGCACCTCCAACTCCAGGGTCTCGAGCTCCAGTGCCTCCAGCAGCAGCACCCCCAGAACTGGCACCTCCAGCTCCAGGGTCTCCAACTCTAGAGTCGACTGCACCAGCTCCAGGGTCTACAGCTCCAGTGCCTCCAGCAGCAGCACCCCCAGAACCGGCACCTCCAGCTCCAGGAGCACCACTAGTACTGGCAGCTCCAGTACCTCCAGTACGAGCACCTCTAGAACTAGAGACACCAGCACTCCCAGTGTCTCCACGACGAGCAGCTCCAGCAACTCCAACCGCAGCACCTCGAGAAGCAGTGCCTCCAGCAGCAGAACCTCCAGCTCTAGCAGCACGACTCCTCAGGCGGGTACGCCACGCAAGCCACTCTCGTAGCTGCTGTGGTGAGAGATGCCCGTGTCGTGAAACGAGACCCGGAGGAACGCCAGCAGACTCAGCACCCCCCGACCCGGCACCCTCCGGCTCAGCACCCCCAGGCACCGCACTCGTAGGCTCAACACCCCCAGGCTCCGCACTCGCGGGCTCAGCGCCCCCAGGCTCCGAACCCCCAGGCTCCGCACCCCCCAGCACCTCACGTACAGGCTCGGTACCCCCAGGCTCCGCAGTCGCAGGCTCAGCACCCCCAGACGCAGCACCCCCAGCAGCACCTCCCACAGCAGCACCTGAGTCGCTAGTGACCTCGACAGGCTCAGCCAAGGGGAGTGGGTCTACCTGAGACACACCTAAAGGAGCAGGACCCTGAGGGGGGAGGGGGTCTACCGGAGGGGGACCTGGAGCGAGGAAAAGCGGCGGGGGAGGGAGAGGGGCAGTGCGGTAGGGGAAGAGACGGTAGAAAGGAACCGCCTTGTCAAAGGTGACGTCCTGAGAGGGAAAGACATGGCGCGAGGTGGGGTGGTCAAACTGCCAGCCAGCGGCGTCAGGGACAAAGCCAAGGAAGACACAGGGAATGGTGCGGGAGGAGAGCTTGTCCACGGACGTATCGCGGACAAGGGCACGAGCACCCCAGACCCGGAAACGCGACGCATCGCCAACCTCCCCCGTCCAACGCAGTGTGGGCGAGGTCTCCGGCAAGGAGACACAGGGCCAGAGGTTGAGCTGATGCGCGGCGTACCGGACCGCAAACGGCCACAGAAAATGGGGAGCCGCCGCATGGATCAAGGAGGTACGTGCGATCTTCATGACTAAGCCAATGCGGCGCTCAGCAACCCCATTTTGCTGCGGTGAGCCCGGAAGTGTGAACGACTGCTTGATTCCCTCCCCCTGGCTGAAGGCCCACAAGAGGTCAGAGGTGAACTCACCACCTCTGTCAGAGTGCCGACTCAGGACAGGAAGGTCCTGGCGGAACCTCCGGCGGAGCTGGAGACGAACTGCTCGGATCCAAGGGATCAGGACAGCAGGGACCTCATCCTTGGTGTGCGTGAAGACCGTGGTGTAGCGCGAGTAGTCGTCGACAACCAGCAGAAAGTACCGCTCACTGCCCTGTCCACGATCACGGGCTGGTCCCACACGTCCAGGTGGAGGGTCTGCAGAGGAGCCTCTGTCAGGGGAAACGAGGAGGAGTGAGGAGCGGCGCGCTGCCACCCCTCGACGCAAGGAAGGCAGGGCGGCGCAGGCGAGGCAGGGAGGGGAGGGAGAGACCGGGGAAGACCATACACAAGGAGGCGACGGTGCAAGGAGGGGTGACCCAGGCGGTGACCCAGGCGGTGGTGCCAGAGAAGAGTCTGGTGCGACAGGGAGCGACACTCACAAGGGGAGGCTACCAGACCTGACGCAGACACCTGACCGACAGCAGCTACCTGAGGAGACACAGTAGTCAGTTTGTAAATAAAGACTCGACCCTGGCCGACGGGTGAACGTGGCCAGGTGACGGCCAGTCCTGGAGCACGTACAGATCGCCACACGCTGTCCTCCAGGGGTAAAGGTGTCAACCCAATGATCCTGAAGGACGGCGTTGCTCACCAAGTTCGTCGAGAACGAGGGGAGGTGGAGACCTGACAGTGAGCCAGACGGAACCGCCGGGCACGGAAGCACAGTGGTGGACCGTGCAAGAACTGGGCCCCCTGAGGGGTCAGCCAGAGAGACTGCAACAGGTGCAGGGAGTGGTGTGAGTGCAGTACTGTCACGAAAGAAACAGCGGGAAGCACCTGAGTCAAGCGTGAAGGTGTGCAAGGCCTCAACAGGCGCAGTACCTGAGGGAGCAGACGTACTAGCACCTAGAGCAGCAGCCTCTATACCGGGGTCAGGCGGAACACACAGGTAACAGTCACCATCAGCACTAACCTCCAATGTATTCATGGCAGCAATAATAGCATCAAAGTCAAGAGCAAAAATGTCTACACCATCCCTAAGCAGATCATGCCAGCGAGGGCGCTCAACCTCCTCGCCCATCTCCTCACGCCAGGCGTCGTCAAGGCGGGAGAAGCAGCGGTGCTGGGTGTGAAACTTCCCGCATGTCTGACCCTTGCGGTCACCTGTGCGAATGACATACGGGCAGCGACCACCACTCCCATACCTCCCACACTGAGCAAGCCACTCACGAAGCTGCTGGGTCAGCTGGGGACGCTGCTGCTGCTGCTGGCTCTGGCCAGCGCCAGTGCCTCCACCCCGACCGCCACCCCCACCGCCACCGCAGCCCCAGCCGCCACCGCCGCCGCCGCCTCCGCCGCCACCGCCGCTGCCACCCCCTCCGCCGCCACCGCCTCCACCGCCGCTACCGACGCTACCACTCCCGCCAGCACTCCCGCCACCACTCCCTCCGCCACCTCCTCCTTCTCCACCGCCTCCATCACCACCCCCCCCCACCGGTGCCACCTCCGCTACCCTTGGCTCCCTTGCCCTTGCCGTTGCGGCGCCTCCCACTAGGAGCAGAAGCAGCACCAGCAGACTCAGCACCAAGGAAGTCAACAGCAGCAGCAGTAGCGAAGGAGGGGGCGAGGGGAGAGGGAGAGCACCCCTCAAAGATGGGGGTGCGAGGAGCGCCACGAGCAGCACCTACAGCGACAATGCTCTTCTCTGCTGCAAGGAGGTGCTCCTCTAGGAGGTCGACAGTGAGCTCGGTGGGACAGCGAGCGAGAAAGTGGTCCATGACCGAGCTAAGAGAGTTAGGGAGACGGGTGACTATAAAGTGGAGGGTCCAGTACATCAGAGGTGGGTTCTTAGTACAGAACTCTCTGGGGAGGGCGGCGCGAAGGCGAGTGTCGCTAGTGCGAAGGTGGGTGATGAGATCGGCAACTGTGGCAAAGGTGGACAGCTCAGGAAACAGGTAGGGCAGCATGAGGCGGCTAAGCTCAGCAGTGGCAGGGGAGGAGTATCGAGCAACTACAGCGTCGCACAGGGCCTTAGCGGTTTTGTGTTCGCCAAAGTGCGTGAGCTCGGCTAACGGCAGGTGATTGCAAACGGCTAGGCGAGCAGCAGCGTCACGAGTCTGCCACTAGGAACGGGCACTAAGCTCAGCTGTGGCAGCAGGAGCGACTGAGGCACCAGACGTGTGGTCATAGAGAGAGACATTGTCCTTGCTATCGCTCATTAGGAACAGCTGCAGGTCATCGAGCCAGGTCTCGAACTGAATCGGGCGGCCCTCAGCATCGAACGTCAGAACGCGAAGGGTGGCCATAGCTGCCGGCGCGGGACTAGCAGGGCAGAGCAATCGCAGGCAAGTAGCAGCAGCAGGGCGTGTCAAACATTATATATGTTGGGTTTGTTAGGCTATAGTGGGTTAGCCTATATGGGGTACACAATTCTAGGGTTTGCTATTTGTACTGATTTCTCTGTTAGTTCAATCATTCCAGTCTCTTCTTTTGACATGGTATCAGAGCAGGTCCTTCGCTAGGACCGTTCTTAGGGCCCACCACTGAATACCTACCTACCTATCTACTGTCGGAGTGCTGCGTTAGCGCCTCCCCCTCTCAGCGCCCTAGTGCGCCCTCGTGTACGGCCCCTTAAGGCTTCGTTGACCCCGCGCGCCGCCCCTTAGTGACCCGCGCGTCGCTCCTTAGAGGCCCCGTCGACCCGCGCGCGCCCCGCTTAAGGCCCCGTTTGGCCCCGTCGACCCGCGCGCGCCCCGCTTACGGCCCCGTTTGGCCCCGTCGACCCGCACGCGCCCCGCTTACGGCCCCGCTTGACCCGTCGACCCCGCGCGCGCCCCGCTTTGAGGCCCTGTTTGGCCCCGTCGACCTGTGCGCGCCCCGCTTACGGCCCCGTTTGGCCCCGTCGACCCGCGCGCGCCCCGCTTACGGCCCCGCTTGACCCGTCGACCCCGCGCGCGCCCCGCTTAGAGGCCCCGTCGACCCTATCCGCCGCCCCAAAGCGGCTCCGTCGACCCTACCCGCCGCCCCTACCCGCACCGCACACGACAGTTGCGGCCCCGCCAGCAACAGGCCGCCCGAACCGAGCCGCCCAGTCCGAGCCGAGCCGAGCAGCCAGAACCGAGCCGCGCCGCCCGCACTGAGCAACTTCTCTGGACCGAGCCGCCCTACCTCCGTCGCGCTGCCCACTGCGTTTAGGACTCACTTACTGCTACTGCTACGGCTACTCCTACTGCTACTATGGCTACCCCGCCTGTACTCGCTTTTGATGCTGAGGGCCGCCCAGTGAAGTTTGATACTTGGCTTGATGACCTGCACCTCTTCCTACAGCTCACTGCCAAGGAGGATATCTCACTGTATGACCACGCCCTCGGCCATGCTCCTGCCCCTGCTACTGATGCTGACAGCACTACCCGCTCACAGTGGCAGACTCGTGACGCCCACGCTCGCTTTGCCATCCGCAACTCCCTGCCGTTAGATGAGCGCGAGCACTTTGGCCAGTGCAAGACTGCTAGGGACCTCTACACCGCTGTAGTTGCCCGTTACTCCTCACCCGCTTCTGCTACGCTAGGCCGCCTCACTCTTCCCTACCTGTTCCCCGACCTAGCCTCCTTTCACACTGTCGCAGACCTCATCACCCACCTTAAGACTAGTGAGGCCCGCTTTCGCGCTGCTATGCCTGCCGAGTTTCTCACTAGCAACCCCCCCCCGCTCTGGATCACTCTCTACCACATCGTCACCCGCCTCCCTGACTCTCTGCGCGCAGTCAGGGACCACTTCCTCTCTCGCTCCCCCACTGAGCTCACTGTTGCCCTCCTCGAGAAGGAACTGCTTGCAGCTGAGGCGAGCATCGTCGCTGTAGGCACCTCTCGTGGCGACCCCCGCACCCCGTTCTTCGAGGGGTGTTCCCCTTCCCCCCTCCTCCCCTCTGTCGCCTCTGCTGCTGCTGTCGACCTTCTTGGTGCTGAGAAGGTCGGGACCGCGTCTGCTTCGAGCGGGCGCCGCAGGGGCAAAGGGGGCAGGGGCGGGGGTGGCGGCGGAGGAGGTGGGGGTGGAGGCGGTGGGAGTGGAGGCGCGGCTGAGGAGGCTAGTGGCGGTAGTGGGGGAGGCGACAGCAGCGGCGGGAGTGGTGGCAGGGGCGGAGGCGGCAGCGGAGGCGGAGGTGGTCGTGGTGGCGGCAGGGGTGGAGGTGGCCGGGGCGGAGGCGGAGGGGGTGGTGGTCGTGGGGGCACTGGCGGAGGGCAGAGTCAGCAGTCCGCCCCGACGCTTCAGGCCGCCCGTGAGTGGTATGCGCAGCGTGGCTGTACCTGCACGTACGTCATTCGCACAGGTGACCGCAGCGGCCAGCAGTGTGGGAGGCCGCACCCCACGCAGCGCTGCTTCGCCCGCCTTACCGACGCGTGGCGCACCCAGTTTCCTACTGCCGCTGAGCTGCCGCGCTGGCCTGAGCTGGAAAAGAGGGGTGTTGATATTTGGGCTTTAGACTTTGATGCTATTCTCACTGCCATGTATGCGATGTCTATTAGTGGAGAGGGTGCTCAGTACTTGCGTGTTCCGCCCGACCCGGGTATTCAGGCCAGTCCGGCTGCCGCTCTAGGTGCTAGTGCGTCCGCTCCCGCAGGTCCTGGTGAGGCTGCTGCCCTAGGTACTAGTGCGTCTGTGCCCCCTGGTACTGAGTCGACTGCAGCACTGCACACCTTCACACTGGACTCAGGTGCTTCTCGCTCTTTCTTTCGTGACCGCACTGTCCTTGAGCCCCTCGCTCGGCCAGTTGCTGTCTCCCTTGCTGACCCCTCTGGGGGTCCGGTCATTGCGACCTCCTCCACTGTCCTTCCTTGTCCGGCGGTCCCGTCCGGCACGCTGTCAGGTCTCTACCTCCCCTCGTTCTCTACGAACTTGGTGGCAGGTAGTGCGCTCCAGGACGGGGGTGTTCACCAGTTCACCCCTGCCTACGAGCGCGTGACACACTGCACGTGTGCTCGGACGGGTCGCCACCTGGCTACCTTCACTCGGGAGCCGGGGTCGGACCTTTACACACTGACCACTGTGTCCCCTCAGGTAGCTGCGTCTGCGTCTGCGTCAGGTCAGCTGTCCGCCCCCTGCTCGTGTCGCTCTCTGGCACATGAGACTGTCCTTTGGCACCACCGCCTTGGTCACCCGTCTGTGCAGCGCCTTCGGGCCATGCACCAGCGGGACCTTGTTGCTGGTCTTCCCAGGGTGCTCCCTCCCCTTCCCGACTCGCCTGCTCCTCCCTGTATTCCCTGTGTCGAGGGACGGCAGCGCGCCGCTCCTCACTCCTCCTCCTTTCCCCCGACGACTGCCCCCTTGCAGACGCTTCACATGGACGTGTGGGGCCCAGCCCGCGTCCGTGGTCAGGGTCAGGAGAGGTACTTCCTGATTGTTGTTGACGACTTCTCGCGCTACACCACGGTCTTCCCCTTGCGCGCCAAGGGTGACGTCCCTGATGTTTTGATCCCTTGGATCCGCAGATCTCGTCTCCAGCTCCGTGAGCGTTTCCGCTCCGACTTCCCTGTCCTGCGTCTGCACTCTGACAGAGGTGGGGAGTTCTCCTCTGGCCTATTGGAGGCCTTCTGTCAGCAGGAGGGCATTGAGCAGTCGTACACGCTTCCGGACTCTCCACAGCAGAATGGGGTTGCTGAGCGCCGCATTGGTCTGGTCATGGAGGTCGCTCGTACCTCCTTGAGCCATGCGGCTGCCCCCCATTTTCTGTGGCCGTTTGCAGTCCGATACGCTGCGCATCAGCTCAACCTCTGGCCCCGTGTCTCCTTGCCCGAGACTTCTCCGACACTGCGTTGGATGGGAGAGGCTGGCGATGCGTCGCGTTTTCGGGTCTGGGGATCCCGAGCTTTTGTCCGCGACACGTCCGCGGACAAGCTCTCCCGTCGCGCTGTCCCCTGCGTCTTCCTTGGCTTTGTCCCGGACGCCCCTGGTTGGCAGTTCTACCACCCCACCTCGCGGCGTGTCCTGGCCTCTCAGGACGTCACTTTTGACGAGTCCGTCCCCTACTACCGCCTCTTCCCCTACCGCACTGCCCCGCTCCCCCCCCCCGCCTCTCTTCCTGGCTCCAGGTGCTGAGGTACCAGACCCCCTCCCCCCTCAGGGTGCCGCTCCCTCAGGTGTGTCCCAGGTAGACCCGGGTGAGCCTGTCGAGGTAGCTGTTGACTCTCGTCCTGCTAGGGGTGCTGAGCCTGGGGGTGCTGCGTCTGGGGGTGCTGAGCCTGGGGGTGCTGCGTCTGGGGGTGCTGAGCCTGGGGGTGCTGAGTCTGGAGGTGCGGAGCCTAGAGGTGCTGAGTCTGGGGGTGCTGAGCCTGAGCTTGCTACACCTGGAGGAGCCCTCTCCTCCCAGCAGCTGCAGGAGAGGTACCTCGAGTACTGCCGCCTCCGGAGAGGTGCTGCTGGAGCTCGTCCCGGTACTTCCCCTCCTACCCAGGAGCTCCCCCCCATTCAGCAGATCCGCGAGTGGTACACACGGCGCTGCAGTCTTCGGAGTGGTGCTCCTGGTGCTGCGGACCCTGGGGGTGGCGCTGCTGCTGGTGCTGAGGACCCGGACGTTGGAGCTGCTGCTGGTGCTGCGGACCCGCCTGGTGGAGCTGCTGCTGGTGCTGAGGACTCGGACGTTGGAGCTGCTGCTGGAGCTGAGGACCCGGGCGGTGGCGCTGCTGCTGGTGCTGAGGACCCGGACGGTGGAGCTGCTGCTGGTGCTGAGGACCCGAGCGGTGGCGCTGCTGCTGGAGCTGAGGACCCGAGCGGTGGCGCTGCTGCTGCTGCTGAGGACCCGGGCGTTGGAGCTACTACTGGTGCTGAGGACCCGGCCGGTGGAGCTGCTGCTGGTGCTGTGGACCCGGACGCTGGAGCTCCTACTGGTCCTGAGGACCCGGCCGCTGGAGTCTCCTCTGCTTCTGGAGACGCTGCGCGGCCGCGACCGTACTTCGTACCGCTCCTTCAGCAGGTTCTTGGGCAGGCTCCTCCTCCTTGTCCTCCTCCCTCCGTAGAGTGTCCTCCGCCTGTCCAGCCGCAGTCACAGTTACCGCCTACCTCGCCTCTCCCTGCTCCCTCTCCTTACACTGGTCCCACAGGAGGTCTTACAGAGCGTCGTGAGCCTGAGTCTCGTCCTGCGTCGCCTGTTCGTCCTGCTCGCACTGCTAGTCGTGTCCGTCGTGAGCGTCCTCCTCCTGTCCCAGACACTCACTACATGACTCTGCGTCCCTCTACTGCTCCTCAGCGTGTCCCTCTACCGTCACCTCCTGCGTCCTCTTTGCCTGACGTTCCGGACCCTGAGTCTGACCGGTATCATGCTGAGCACCCTACTGTCACGCGTCTCCTAGCTACTGTTGTCACTGACCCTACCTTTGAGTCCTCGGCTGCGTCTGCTCTGGTCGCTGAGTTGGTTGACTTTGCTGCTGCCTGTCGTCTAGACTACGCTGCTAGCCTTGTTGCTGAGTCTGCGTCTGAGTCTGTCTGTCCTCCGTCCGTCGGGGGTGAGTGTGCTCTTGGCACGGACGTCCTTGAGGACAGACAGGAGGAGTTCCAGTGTCTTGCTGCTGCTTTGCCCCGTCTCGTGTCCTTGCTAGTTGCCCCTGAGGGAGACCCGGATGCACCAGACATCCCGACCCCGCGCTCTTACGCAGAGGCGATGGCAGGTCCCTACTCCTCTCAGTGGCAGACAGCTATGGACGCAGAGATGGCTTCCTGGAAGTCCACACGCACCTACGTCGACGAGGTTCCCCCACCTTGGGCGAACATCGTCAGTGGCATGTGGATTTTCAGGGTGAAGCGGCCGCCGGGTTCTCCGCCTGTCTTCAAGGCGCGTTACGTGGCTCGAGGCTTCAGTCAGCGAGAGGGAGTTGACTTCTTCCAGACCTTCTCCCCCACCCCGAAGATGACTACTCTTTGGGTGCTGCTGCACATAGCCGCTCAGCGCGACTACGAGCTTCACTCACTTGACTTCAGCACTGCTTTCTTGCAGGGCAGCCTGCACGAGGAGATCTGGCTGCGCCGCCCACCTGGCTTCACTGGGTCTTTTCCTCCTGGTACCCAGTGGAGGCTTCAGCGGCCGGTCTACGGTCTCCGCCAGGCACCGCGTGAGTGGCACGACACACTGAGGACTACACTTGCGGCTCTTGGGTTCGCGCCTTCTACAGCTGACCCGTCGCTGTTCCTGCGCACCGACACTTCACTGCCGCCGTTCTACATCCTCGTGTACGTCGACGACTTGGTCAATGCCACTGCTGACACTGCAGGACTCGCCTACGTGAAGTCGGAGCTGCAGAGGAGACATACGTGCACAGACCTGGGTGAGCTGACAAGCTATCTTGGCTTGCGGATCACCCGGGACAGAGCACGGCGCACCATCACCTTGACTCAGTCACACATGGTGCAGCAGGTTCTCCAGCGCTTCCGCTTCACGTACTCCTCGCCTCAGTCCACTCCTCTGCCTACCGGTCACTCGCTCTCAGCTCTGCCTTCGGATGAGTCCGTAGAGCCGAGTGGCCCGTATCCAGAGCTTGTGGGCTGCCTCATGTACCTGATGACCTGCACTCGACCTGACCTTGCATACCCTCTTAGCATCCTTGCACGCTATGTCGCTCCTGGCCGTCACAGGAAGGAGCACATGGATGCCGCTAAGAGGGTGTTGCGCTACTTGTGCAGTACGTCGGGCATGGGGCTTGTGCTTGGAGGGCGAGACCGAGTTGTGCTCACAGGGCACTCAGACGCTTCTTGGGCAGACGACCAGGCCACTCAGCGGTCGTCTCAGGGTTACACCTTCAGCCTTGGCTCTGGCTCAGTTTCTTGGCGCTCTACACGCTCTTCTTCTGTTCTCGGCTCCAGTTGCGAGGCTGAGATCTACGCTACAGCCATGGCTGCCCAGGAGCTACGCTGGCTGACCTACCTGCTGACTGACCTCGGAGAGCCGCCTCGTTCTCCTCCAGTACTGTACGTCGACAACAAGGCTGCCATTGCCTTGTGTGAGGAGCACAGACTGGAGCACAGAACGAAGCACATCGCCCTACGGTACTTCCTTGCTCGAGAGCTGCAGCAGCGCGGTCAGCTTTGTATTCGCTACGTGGCCACTGAGGCCAACACTGCTGATGTGTTCACCAAGGCGCTTCAGCCTCGTGACCATCAGCGCTTCTGCACTCTACTAGGCCTTGTGCCTACTGGACCTCACTTGCTTACCTCTTGACTTTGCTTGTACTGTGATCACTATATATATTTATACCTGCATGTTTACTCTTGCTAGGTTGTGATCACTGTATCTCTGGCTCTGTTATAAACCTGCATGTGAACTGGTCTTGTGACCACTAGCTTGTGCTCGGAATTTGTGTGGAATCCTCGAGATCCACCCTGAGCTTGCTGATGCCTTGCTTTGCCTTGACTGGTCTTGTGACCCCTAGGTCTCCCCCACTTTGCCTATGGGGGTGTGTCAAACATTATATATGTTGGGTTTGTTAGGCTATAGTGGGTTAGCCTATATGGGGTACACAATTCTAGGGTTTGCTATTTGTACTGATTTCTCTCTTAGTTCAATCATTTCAGTCTCTTCTTTTGACAGGGCGGGCGGCACACGGGGCTGCAGGGCAGCGTGACGGGCGGCGCGCTGCCGAGCAGTGCGACGGGCGGTGCGCGGGGCTTAGCAGGCAGCCGCGGCATGAGCAGGCGGCGCACGGGGCTACAGGCGGCCGGCGAGGCAGCGCGCAGGGCACGCGGGCTGCTAGCGGGCGGCGCGCGGGCAGGCAGGAGCTGCGCACGGGCTGCGTGGGCAGCGGGCGGGTCGCGCGGGCTGCTAGCGGGCGGCGTGCGGGCCGCGCGGGCTGCTAGCGACGCGGCGCAGGGAAGGGCAGGGCGTGCGTGGGGCTGCGCAACGCAGGGTAGGGCAGGGCAGGGCGCAGGGTAGCGCGGTAACCGCGGGCGGTTAGTGGTGGGCCCGAAAGAAAAAACGGTCCTAAGGTCCTAAGGTCCTAATGCTCTTAATACCATGTTAGAAAACTCTCGACGTACACTCCACACACAGCACGCCGTCACCGCACCAGCCGTGCAGAAGGGCACAGCACCTACTGCTGCACCTCGTCATCCCCGTCGCCGACGTCGGCCAGACGCACTTGGCCGATGGCGACAGAGCACCGGTTGAAGGCCAGGAAATGCAGCGCCTTTGTTATGAAATCGGCCGGCTGCTCGATGGTCGGGATGTATTTCAGCACAAATTTCCCGCGCCTCACCATGTGCTGCAGCCAGGCGTAGCGTCGCTCCATGTGCTTGAGGTTGCTCGTCATATACATGCCCTCAGCGACCGTGATCGCCGACTTGTTGTCCACCCAGAGGACACTCGGCTTCCCAGCGTCGAGCTACTTGAACTCCGCAAGAAGGAAGCGGAGTCGGCGCCCCTCCTTGCCTGCATCTGTGGCTACCACGTACTCTAACTCGGTCGACGACAATGTCGCGCACTTGATGCGCGAGCTCGACTAGGCTCCATAAACGATCACATAGCCGCCCGTGCTCGTCCGGTTCTGCTTGTCGCCCGCATCATCGGCGTCCACGTAGCTGCTCAGCTCCAGCGACTCTGGTCCACCGCCGAACTCCAGGGCGGTGTCGCGGGTGTTAGCGAGATAGGCGTGGCAGTGGTCGACCTCGCTCTAGTGCTGGTCCCTCCTCATTGGGCCAGTGGAGTGGTGCATTGGCTCAACCTCTCACTCAAGTGATCTGCTAGATCACCCACAACTTTCCCTCCATCACCTTTTTTTATTTGTCTTCACCCCCGAACAATTTTGCTTCTCGCCGTTCACCCAACGTCCGCTTTTGTCGGATGGAGTATCGTTGGTGTTGCCCGGTGACCCCAGCCACAGCGGAGGGGCAAAAATCATCGGAGCCGAGGCAGCTTTAGTTAAAAGGAACTATCGCCCAACCGTTTTGCAGCCCGCCGTACCTATCACGCCACGAAAATTCCACAGCTTCGCCGCTCCGCCGTCAAGTCGTGTAGGCGCCCGGGTCAGGAGTGCGGAGAGTCACTACACAATGGGAATGAATTATAGAGGAGGGCACGGGGTTGTGCGAGTGATCGTAGCTTGCACTAACATTCTTACTTCTTGCTTGTGTTCACAACGAAGTTTGACAAGAACTCCACTAAGGAAGTTGGAAGAACATTGAGCATTGAAAAGATTAGAGTACAATTGAGGCATGCAGAAGGATATGAATAGAATGTTATGCAACACCTAGCAAGGATGAAATTCGCCAGCGCAGCAGAAGAGTGGCTTGCCAACACTGCAACAGAGTAGTCTGCCAGCGTTGCACTGCGCGCAGTCTACCATCACTACAGTCGCGGGTAATCTATCTGCGCAGGAAGGTGCGCATGTTGACGGTTTCACCGTCACGCACATTGCGCGGGTGCAAGGTAGAAAACGTGTCGTCGGTTTCACCAGGTGCTAAGCGCTGACCATGTGCTGCCGTTTCGCAGGTCGAACTTCGCAAAAACCTCCTGGGCGAAGTTTCGCATGCCTCCGCAGAGTTTCGCCCAACTCTGCAAGCTCGGTCAAACAACTCGACCCCGCTCGGTTGAACAGCGTCCGCCGAGCAGAACTCGTCGACCAGCACTCGTCGACCAGAGCTCGTCGCACAGAACTTATCGCGCAAAGCTCGTCGACCAGATTCAGTCGAGAAGAGCCTGCTCGACCGCAACTTCCGTCGAACTGCAGAAGCCCACTTTGTCGACCAATCCGTCGCGAACTTCTCATCGACAGCGAGATCGGCTGCGCCCAAGCGAGGGCGGGGCTTTTCTCTTTGACACTCCTCTGCCGTGCTCATGATTGGGCACCCCACACACTAAGCATACCCAGAACCCAGGGGGTTGGTTTCCAAGGAGAAAATTCCGTCTGCGTGCACCCAACACATAGCACGCAGGTCACCGCACCAGCCGTGCAGATTCGGTCTCATAATAACCTAGGGGCAGTCCCCAATTCTCGATTGAACCCACATGCTGGGGTCGGGTAACCGACGGAAACTGATGGTGACTGAGTGTGAGAGTACGACGGCTTATGCCAGCTATGCTTGCTTGCCTTTACTTAATTATGCTATTTCTAGCTTAGGTTCATTGTTGCATGCATGCTTTTCACCGAATTCTAGGCTTTTCGATTGCCACCGAATTGCCTTCTACCGGATTCAAGAAGGCTCTATTCAGGTCGCTTCGCGACCCTCGGAACCTTCGCATAACACCTGATTACTAGGCCTTGTGTCAAGACTATACATAGCCTCGTGTTGTACCCAAGTGGAGCAATCAATTCAAAATCTCTTTTCTGAGCTCGATCCTAAAGCCTCACACTTGGTAATCAGAGCCTGTTTACACGCAAAGTTTTCCGACCACTAAAAACCGAGTCTTCAAAAACCGCGAGACGACGAGTATTAAACACCGATTTTGGGTAAGTAAAATTGGTTCTGTGTTTTTCACTCCCCCTCGCTTTCGGTTTTCAAACGCGCAATATCAGGAATGGAGGGACAAGGCGACAACATACGCGACCACCCACGACATTGCCAGCCTTCGCACCGACGTGGAGCAGATGCCGGCGGCAATCCGGCGAATCCAGGCCCTCCTGATGAACCAATCCGTAGCCACCACCGTAGAAGTAAATGCAGCAGAGAACGCAGCAGAGACAACAGCAGCACAAGCAGCGACATTTCACGGACAGATGGCACCACCTTCGCCGAACCCCGAAGCAGCTCGCCCGAAGCGTTCGATCCATGCGCAAAGGGATTGTACGTTCGACGATTCGTGGCGACCCTCGGATTTTACTTCGAGGCCATTGGCTGTTCGACCCCGACATACGATGCAGCTCGGATTCCGATCGCAGCGACACTCTTGCGGGGACCAGCACTCGAATGGATTTATAGCAGTGAAGTGGCACGCGAGGAGAAAACGTGGGCGCAGTTTTGGGCAGACCTCATCGAAAGATTCGAGCCGAAAAATTCGACGTAATGGCGCGGTGTAGCACAGTACACGCAGCAGATGGAGCAGATTTTTAACCGCATCATCGACCTGACCGAGGGCGAAAAATTCCAAGCGTACAGGAACTATCGCAACCTCGTACGTGCAGCCGAACGTTACGACGCGTTGACGCGCGGTCAACCCGAAACACGACGCCACGTGTCGAACCAATCGTTCGGCACGTAGCGATTGGCACCCTCCACTCAACCTCCCGCCACTCAGAAAATGATGGCACGGATATAAAACGTCACGACCGGCCGGCATCAGGGGAAATCGCCGAGGCGAATGGAGGCTCCGCGAAAAAAGACTCTGCACCGACCGGGAAACTCCAGCCGAACACCCACGAAAGTAAGAATTTGTTAAAGTTAGCCTATGAAGATATTTTAAGAAAGAATATTACTTCTCGTGGTTTTCAAGCCTTCGAAAAAATCGTGTGAGAATTAGAGGTAAAAAAAAAAAAAACCTTGAAAATTTATTCAGGTACCTGATAATTTGGCAAAGTACTACGGAGCGTAGAAAAGGGTCGTGCGTTCCGTGGAGTTAATATCCTCTCCCCGCAGCACCGTGTTAAGGCTCCCCATTGCCCACAGGTGAAGCCTACACAGCTGCAAAGGCTTAGAGGACAATTCCAGGCTTTGGAGAAGTTGTACAAGCCTCGGAAAAATCCTCCTACCCCCAGGTGAAGTTGGAAGTAAAAAGTGCTGAGTCGGGTATAGGAATTAGGGAAGGTGATTTCTTTGATGTACCCTATGATCCTTTTTATAAGACTATCTTTGGCTACTCAGCCCAGCAGAAACCACTACATCTCGAGGTGTTATGCAAAGGATGACGCCTTCAGGCACTGGTGGTCAGTGGAGCATCGCACTTAGTGTGCGACCGCGAAACATTGGAGAAAATTGGAGAGAAGGTGGAGAAGGCCCAATTTTCAGCAACGATGGTGGACGGTACGAAGCTTCCCATCCACGGCGAAACATCACTGCAGCTGCATATAGGTGCATTGAGGTGAAACCGAAGTTACCAGTCACCAACATCAAAGGGTTAGATTTTATCTTGGGGCGAGATTTCATGAGGTGGTTCAGCCCCGAAATCGACTGGGTCAACCGGAAGGCGTGCATCTACAACAACAGGAAACGTGTGGAGCTGCGAAGCTGGACGGATACAGGGGACGTTCTAAAACAACACTGGCACGGTTCGAGTGGACGGTGAATGATAGT